GGCGTGAAGGTGCGGTAGAGAGCCGTGGAGCTGGGGCCATGTTACATATAGCAGGAGATGCTCAACTGTCGGTATTGGGCCACTCTAGAGTTGAATAATGGAGCAAGGGTCGGCTAGGGCTGTGTGACGCGCAGCAGGAGGTAGTGCTCAATTGCCGGTACATGTTGCTCATATGTAGAATCTTTTAGGGTGACGAGGACAAAACTTGCTTCCGAGTGTGTCCTTCCAGTGTTCGTCTACCCTTGGTGTGTCTTTCAGGCCGAGTTGTTGCGTTCATCAGAAAACTTTGCATCCGCTAGGGTTTACGCCTTTATCGTCGCGCGTCTGGATTGGGCTGAATAGTACGTCATGAGGATGACTACATGCGTTTGAAAGTAAAACTTAAGCTTCCGAGTTGCAACAGTTATCGCCAAAGTTAGTTTTTGAATTTCTGATAACATCAATTAGAGCTTTTAAACTGTGGAATACAACTGATAGCATCGATTAGAGCTTTTAAACTGTGGAATACAGGTAGTCAGGCCCCTAGCTCTTCTCGTATGATGGTATAGCTTATTGCTGCTTCAAATGCGACTGCTCGTCCAGTCAAACTTTGAATCTTCTTCAGAGTAGTGGGGGACTTCATATTCAAGATTGCTCGGATTTGCCTTGAATGGGCATCGACGAATTTCATCCCAAAGTGCATGCTTTTCTGCCAAAACGAAAGAGTCTACCAGAGTTAGATCTTCTTTCATTATCAGTTTTCCGAACAGTGGGTGGTCTGCTGGAAGTCCTTTTTGGAAGGCTGCTCTAGCTATCAAGTCGTTGCATCTGACTATCTTTGACTTCTTTGCTTTGAACCTCCTAACATAGTCGCGAAGCGACTCCTTTGGGTTCTTCTTGATGTCGAACAAATGGTCGGACTTCTTTTTGATCGAGCAATAGGATGAATATTCTTTGGTGAAAACCAAAGAAAGTTCGTCAAAATTCCAGATGGATTGTGGCGGCAGGGTGTAGAACCAATCTTGCGCCTCACCTTGTAGAGTGGTGGCGAATATCTTGCACATGAGATCATCGTTGTTTCGATAGAGGATCATTATGCTTCGGTAGTGCTTTAAGTGTCTCTCCGGGTCTTTATCCCATTTGAAAGATGTGAAATGTGGTATGCTGAACTCGCGTGGAAGCTCTGCCTACTCGATCTCGTCCGTGATTTAAGTGTCTCTCCAGGTCTTCATCGTTGGTCATGTTCCATCGTAGTGCCTCGTTGATGACCTCGTTGCGTTGGAAATTGCGCAATCGCTTGGTCAAAAGTCTCTCTACTTCTTCCTGAATTTGCCTTTATTGAGGTAGTGGGGCTCTTGGCTGCCCCCAACCGTGACTTGTTGGTCTAGGCTGCTCTTCTATGTATTTGGCTCGTCTATGCCGCGGATGCGGTGCATGTAGCGTGTTCCTAGCAGGCGAGTGAGTTCTTCGCAGGCTGTCGGTTGAACTTGAGCCGTATTGAGTGACTCATTCTCTCCGTTCGTCGTCCTGCTTACTCCGATGTGAGGTGGATGATGCTCCTTGCGGGCTTAACCGAGAATGAACAATTCGCCTGGAAAGTTGCTCATGTTGACTATCGGAGTGTGACCCCAACCATGAATGTATGCTCGTTTGTGGGCCTAGTCGAGAGTGCACGCTCTTCCGCGTTCTAAGACGGGAGTATATGCTATCTCGGGGGCCTAATCGGGAGTGTACACTGCCTGAACGCTCGGTTCGTGGCTGGTCGAGTGGCTGCTTACCGGGACGCTGCTGGAGAGGTTCTTTATCTGCCCTTATCCTACTTCGGGACCTCGTCTAGGGCACGTTACATCTCGGTGTGCTGCAAGAGCTGGTTCACCAAAGTCGTCTGCTGTGCGAAGGCGCTCGTCAACAATTTTATGACTTGTCGAGACAAGTGTTGTTCTCCATTTGGGTTGGAATAGCTTGGAATGAATGCGTCTTATTGAGCAATGGAAGTGTGGTAGACTCCGGGCGCGAGATTTGAGTTGGGAAATGTCAAATCCGAAGAAAAATGTGGTGAAAATGCTCCTGGTTCGATCGTTGGTTCGGAAATTTGAAACCAGGATGGTTGAACTAATCTTGGATCAATTTGGGCTACTTGGAAAGCCACGGGAGCATACTGGGCCGCGGAAGCAGGTTGGGCCACGAAAGTGGGCTACTCGGTTGGAGCAAGCTGGGCCACGGGAATGGGCTGCTCGGCTGGAGCAGGCTGTGTCACGAGAGGGGGCTGCTCGACGGGAGCAGGCTGTTCGGAGTGTGATGCATATGGGTGCGAGGCTTGGGCTCGGCTTGGCAACGCGTTGAGTTCGCGTTGGGCTTGGAATGACATGGCTTCGGCCGTGGCCTTGGTGCCGTGAGCCTTAGATGGCATGGCTTGGGCCGTGGTGAAGGCACCATGGACCTCGCTACCGAGGTAGCCACCGCGGTGGTTCCCGTGGTGGAAACTCGTGGTGGTGGTGTCGCTCCACTTATTATCGCATTTAGCCTCGTGGATCGCCATGGTCCCATTCCTTGGATATTAGAATTTTCACTCGTGGAATTTTCTAAATTTCTAGCCATTGTATTCTTCTTTTACGTTTTATCAAAGAATCTTTGCAAATAAAAAAAATTCTAATAATAAGAACGTACGAAAAAATACAAGTAGACTAGAAAATAGAGAAAAACCTTTTTTATGCGAGAGCCTTCTACGAGTGTGGATTTCTTCTCTCAATGAAAGCACCAATTTGTGGATGCAATTTTCTTCCTCCTTGATCTTGGACAAAATTGCACCTACAAAACAACTAACACATTTGGTTAAGGCCAAAAGCCTCACGCGCCCACGATGAATGGGGGGGGCTTTGGCCGAAGAACCTCCGATGCCAAAGTTAGAATTTAGAGAGAAAAGTGTTTGGAGAGTATTGAGAATTTTGCAAGTGTGTTGGAATGATCTTTTGGTGAAAATGGGAGCCTATTTATAGGGATAGGGTGTAATTTATGGTTTAATTGTGATTTAATGGATTAATTAGGCAATTAATCCATTAATTGGTTAATCAACACATTTTTGGAATAAATATTTTGAGGGTTATGTAATTTATATGAGATGTTTTGAAGGTTATGAAATAATTACCTTGTAGAAAATATAGGATGAGGATGGATGAAATAACTTTGAATTTGTTACCTATTTTGGGCACTTTTGATTCGGTTGAATGATGATTGCTCGCTGCTCGCGCATAGGAATCCCGTTGTACATCAAGGGTATTTTTGTCCTCTTTTGTCCAAAAATCCACGTGTCGCCTTGTGATTATTTTTGGCTCCACAATTATGCTAATGTAATCTAAGAAGTTAAGAACACATGATTCACAGATAAAATACTCACTCTATAATATTTTAAACATGAAAAATCATAATCTATGTAAACATAAAAACTCACTTAAATAATCACCACGAGGTGACTTATTGGTTGTGGATAAATTTTAGACCCGTATTTCACACGACACGTTATAAATTTGATTATTGACACTAGTGAATCACATGATGGCGAGGAAAGTTAAAATGTCTTTATAAGTTTTTCCGATCCTCAAAAGATAAAAACCCACTTAAATGAAAAGATAAAACAAAAGAAAGAAAACAAGCAAAAGAAAAAGCATCATTTCACTTTTAAACGTAATTAGCAAAAAGGGATACTTTGGATGGGATCCCTAATCCTTAACATTCTTTGATTAAAACCTTAATGATATTCAAAGTTTGATCAAAGTCCCTTGACTTTGTACACCTCATTATATTACTATTAATATTTATATTTTTATAGTTTTGACATTAATTGTTTGATATTTTATTAGATTTATAATCCTATAAATTTAAAATCCCTCAATATAATATTATTAGAAACGGTTACAATAAAAGAATTCAAACATTTTGATTGAATAAATGGATAAAAACTATGTAAAAATAAGAAATAATAAATGGCAAAAGAATGTATCCATAGTGTTAAAAAAATTGGTACATTTTACAAAAAAATGGGTACATTTCACATATAACAAAGTGGTACATTAATAAAGATAAAAGATTAAAAAATTATAAGTACAAATGAATTTTTAAAAAATATAGGCCCTAAAAGAAATTAATATATGGGAACAAAATAAAACTAAAAAGAAAATACTACAAATTTTTTAAAAATGTTGCAAATTAAAAGTGGGTACAAACTAAAAATATAAATATATGATACAAAGTTTAAGCATAAAACATAAATATACCATATGTAATTTTTCTATCATTGATTAAATATACAATGTCACGTGACAGTATACACATGGGTACAAACACAAATAAAACTTTTAAAAATATGGGCACAAAAAGAAACTAATATATGGGGTACAAATTAAAAATGAAAAGAAAATTGGTACAAATTAAAAAATATTTGCAAATTAAAAATAGGTACAAACTAAAAATAAAAATATATGATAAAAATTTTAAACATAAATATAAATATACTAATTGTAATATTTTTAACACTAAAGGAATATATTTAAAAATAAAAATATTTTATTATTCAAATAATTAATGATGACCTTAATCAAAAATTAAAAATAAATAAAATTTTAATCAATAAAGTAACAAAAAAAAATGTGAACTTAATTTCTCCTAGCAAAAATCTCAAACGGACAAAGTTTGGATTACCAAATTTTCTCCGTCTCTGAGTGGTCACCGTATCTTCCTTCTCTCAGTTCCCAGTCCAAATCATAACTCCGAATTGTTACAACTCAAACAACACTTTACTTATTAAACTAATTAACAATGCAGATTTAAAAGCAAAATCCTCCAAATCAAATCAATAAAACTAAAACAAAAACAAAATCAAATTAAAAATTAAAAAAATTAGAAAATCAAAAGAAGTGCAGATTAAAAGCAAACAGAAAGATGGAGACAGAGCATGAAGTAAGAGCAGCTTTTCTAATTCCTTATTAAACCGTATGTCTATCTATCTATATATATATATATATATATATATATATACACGCACACGCAAACATGGAACCATATGAATCCAGTCTTAGTGGGTTTTCATTATTTTCGAGATCCATCATCGGAAACCTGCAATTTTCGTGGAAAATCGTTCTGGGATTTCTCGTTTTCTGAGAAAAAAAACTTCCGACCACTTCCATCAAATTTTCAGCAAAAGTTACAACCTTTGAACCCGCGACTTTAATTAACGTTTTCAAAGTCCTTCCAAATCTTCAAAACCGTCATTTGTCAAGTCATCTGTTCTGTTCGATTTAAACCGCAACCCTGATAACCCGGGGCCTCTGCGTTAAAGCTTCAATCTTCACCGTCCATCTGGCGATCAAACTCGGTTTTCTTCATCTGGGTTCTGCTATAAATCCGTCCTCGAGTGTTTGAGTTCTTCACACACACTCACTCACTCACTCACTTTGTTTTTTTTTTTTTTGCGGTCCTCCAGTTTCTTTGTTTTTGCAAAAATGGCCAGCTTTCTGGGGATTTTTACAATGAGGAACTTGCTCGTGCTGTCTCTGGCTCTTAATCTGAGCTTGGTTCTGAGGGTGGTTTACGAGGGCGGGAAGGATGGGGGCCCACATGGGTTCTCTGTGGAGGAGCAGAGAGGGCCGTCAATGGCGGACATGGGTTTTGGGAAGGAAGCTCCGGCGACGCAGAGGACGCGTCTGTCAGTGTCTTCATCTTCTGATCAAGACGTCATGGAGAAAGTTATCAATCTCGACCAGTAAGTGCTTCAAGACTCAGTTTTCTTTCTTAACTTTTTAAATTTGTTTTCAATTATATCATCTAATCCCTCCACTAAGATTTCTTAAGTATGTTTTAAAGTTGTGAAGTGATTTTTACATACGCGTTTTCTTCTCATGCACAATTCTATTTATTCGAGCATTTTAAATTGTAAAAATTCGAGACCACAAACAAACAGGGGTCCATATTCTAAGGGACAAGGATTTTCTCAGGATCTTTGTGGAGATCAAAGATTTTATCTATTTATCGTACATCGTGCAGTTAATTTTTGTTAGAAATTATTTATATTTAATTTTAAATATAAATTTAAAATAATTTTTAATCGCACAATGTATAATAAACATACAAAATTGATTGATCCTTCGAATCCCACAAGAAGGATCCGAAGAGGATCTTATTCCTATTCTAAGTATCTTTTTACTACTTTAATAGTAAAATTGCGACATAATCAACTAACTCAACTCAGGTCATACTTGTTCCGAGTATATGACATCTCTACAGTTGTGAGTGAGGGTAAGTAACGATTAAGATTAACACTATCATTAAGCACATTCCAAATTGAGGTGTGATATCTATATCCTCTTTTTACTCCTTACACGTTTTTTTAATTTTTAATATGAAACAATGTACGTGAGGAATAAAAAAAGAATGTGTGAATAGAGCATCTCTTTCAAATTCTTGTCAAAGTGAATAGCTCAAGACCAGGGGCAAAATTGTCATTTTGAATTTCGTGAAAAATGGGAGGCATGGAGAAGTGTCAGGTATAGCAAGTGTGTGATGGCATATGAAATCTAATAAAGGGGGTCAAAATAATGGAATATTATGTCAGAAACCTCACTTGACGTCACTGATATTTTTGCAAAAAAGACCTCAAACATTAGCAATTTTCAGTTTTTGACTCAAATATTATTGCTTTCCTCATTTTTTTTTCTGATTATTTTTTGTTTACAGTTTACTGTGCTGACAATTTAGGGATAGGATGAAAAAAGGCAGGAGAGGTTCTTGTTTTGGAGAGATTTTTCAGTGTTTCCGTCATACGAAGTGGTACATCACATGTTCTTATATAAATAGTGGGTTATGTGGGTTAAAATGTTAATAACTTAAAAATTAAAATATTTCACTACTTGCATAAAAACATGTGGTGTATCATCCATATTCCCGTCACTACTAAAAATTTCCCTTGTTTTGGGTTGAGATTTCCCATGGCGCATGTTAGAGTTGGCCAACCCTTTTGTACTCGATGACTGTTTCTGTCTTGTCATTTTCCTGTTCCCAAGCTATAGGCGTGGTAGTTCTTTTGTATTTTAAAGATTCCAACATGCACCATAGATGGTGGTAATTGAGACAAATTCGTGTTGATTATCGGATTGTCGGAATATCATTGTATCGATATCTAAAGTTAATCACGTAATATCATGTATTATAACTTTTCAAATAACATGTTTGAGTAATTTAAAATACCGACTTGTTTCACCCAAGTTTTTCTCACCAAATTTTTTTTAGAGTTTATAACAAAGCTGCCGAAGTTGGAGTCCCCGACGTGCATGTTTTTTATGGCAACTCTTACCCTAAGTGCTTGTTAGTATGGGGTACTACATGGGGCTGCTTTTTGGCCTTCTGGGAAGTGCAGAAAAGACTAAAGTGCGCCGTGGGCTGTCTGAGATCTGTAAAACTTTTGGCCGCCCAAGTTGTAAATTAACTTTTCATGGCCTTTCATTTTAGTCCCCATATCGGGATTGTCTGGATCTTACCACCCTCTGGGACCCACAAAAAATCTAACCCATCTGATTAAGGTCTGACGTTAGATGGATACACTAATCATTGATCTGCTGCTGCTGATCTACCTCCTTGGCTCCTTGCAATTTTAGAGAATCTCATTGCTGTGTGACAGACTTTAATTTTTAGGACATTATGTTTACAATCATTGTTTCTACTCTTTTGTCGGTTTTACGAGGAGAGATTTTACCGTATAATCGCTGAAGTATTTTCTGTTTTTATGTATCTCGTGACAGTGATAGATAATCATTCTATAGAGGGGATATTACAACAATTACGCTCAAGATTTTGCTTTTTGTGACTTTCATTATGTTTTTTTCACCCTTTTGACATGGAAAAAGGTGAATTTTAGAAAAAATTTGAAGACTTTCCAAAGATCCCACATCAAAATGCCAGCTTTGTAGTTTGTAGTAATTTTATTTTGTAACCAAGAGTTTACATGTTGCTTTGTTTTTAACTTTTGGTGAATGCAGTGGTGACCCAACAATGTACGAAAATTACTGGCAGCAGATGGATGGAAGAACCACGGTTGTGATCCCTGGGTGGCAGTCAATGAGCTATTTTTCAGATGTCAAAAACCCTTGCTGGTTTTTGGAGCCAGAGTTTGCCAAACAAGTTGTGAGACTACACAATGTGGTTGGCAACGCCGCCACTGACGGCCGCCAAATCGTGGTCGGGACGGGTTCATCCCAGCTGTTTTTAGCTGCGCTCTATGCCCTAGCTCCAAAAGATGGATCCGAGCCAATAAGTGTGGTTTCTGCAGCCCCATACTACTCGGTGAGCTTGTTTGTTACTTTGTGTTTAACCGCGTTTTGCTTTGTTTAGTGCCTTAAACTTTTAGATTTTCGAATTTTTTAAGGTCACTAAGAATTTGTTCACTTGCTGGCAAATCAAGGCAAAGTCAAATGCATCAGTGATGAAACCACATTGTTTATTCTCCTAATTTTTTGTTTGTTTATATAATCACTTTTGTTTGTGGACATGCTTTTTTTTCAATGGCGTCCACTTTAATTAGAAAATTAATTACCGTAAGTCAGATATTTAGTGTGAAAGCGATGGCGTCATCTTGCTTAATCTCTCGGCTTCTCATGCATAATAAAGAGCATCTGTAAGAAGCCTGTAACTTAGTTACGAGCATTCACCCCTGGAAGTCGTGAGTTAGTTCACCTGAGTGACATTAATAATGGGGTGTGCTATCCACACACCCCATTCTATTCGTTGATCTTCTTCAATTCATCCGATCCGACGGCTAAAAATTAAAAATGTGCGTAAGAAGTAAAATAGGGTGTGTGGATATCACACCCCTTAATAATATGGTATTTAATTTGCCTGCCTTGCTTCTGAAGCTTTTGATTTTTGTGATCTTAAATATTTTTCTAATTTCAGTGTAACATTTCAGATATATATTTTTTGGAATCTTAAGATATATATCAACTCAAATCCGTAACATTTCAGCGTGTCTGGTTTTAGCAAAAGATCACACTTCATTTTTTCCTTGGAAACTAGAAAGATATAGTTCATCGCGTGTTGGCGATAATTTGAAATTGCATTCTTTGCTGCTCGTTTGTAAATGTTTCTAAGATGTAAGGTGGCTGTTGATGGTTTCTTTGCAGTCTTACCCCTCTATGACAGACTGCTTGAAGTCTGGCTTGTACAAATGGGCCGGTGATGCCCGAAGCTTCAACAAAGAGGTGCCTTATATAGAGCTAGTGACCTCCCCAAACAACCCTGATGGATTCGTCAGGCATTCCATGGTCAATCGAACAGGGGGTATATTGGTTCATGACTTGGCTTACTACTGGCCACAATATACCCCGATTTCTTCTCCCTCGGACCATGATCTGACCCTGTTCACAGTCTCCAAAGCTACTGGCCATGCGGGGACACGCATTGGGTAAGCTCAATGCTGTAATCAGAGAGTCTTAGTTCTTGTGTCCTGGTTGTGTTGCTCTGCGAACACTAGTTTTCGCATTACGAAAAATGATCTCTACTTGAATTTCTCTTCCAGGTGGGCTCTTGTTAAAGATCTGGAAGTTGCAAAAAAGATGATCAAATTCATAGAGCTCAACACCATTGGCGTGTCCAGGGATTCGCAGCTCCGAGCTGCCAAGATTTTAGAGGTGATGACCAACACCTCTGAAAACCTTGGCAGCTTTGATTCCCACGAATCCTTCTTCAAGATTAGCTACCACCTCATGGCAGAGAGGTGGCAGCTACTTAGAGCGGCAGTGAACAGGGGCAGAGCGTTTAGTCTGCCCGACTTTACACCAGGGTTCTGCCACTTCCTCAACCAGGACTCCCAGCCTCAACCTGGTAAGTGAAAAATCATGAAACGATTAATTAGGAGTGTGTAAGACTAAACTTATCATAAATATAAGTTAAAAGATTAAGCTCATGAACCACAAATTTATACAAGTATTAAAATCATAATTTGATAAACACAATGACAAACTAACCCGTAAAATCAGTAGAAGAAGAAGCCAAAGCAGACTTCTAAACAGTGCACCTTCTCCTCTCTTGCAAAATCAAAAGTACTCAAACTAACAATAGGTCTTAGTTCAATATTGAACGTATGTTTTATGAGAGCAATTACCACTTTTTATAATAGATTAATCCTAATAATTCACCTATTAGAACCACCATAGGATACTAACTATGAATCCAAACATATTATGAGTGCATCAGCATAATAAACTTTCAGTCTCACAAGGACTATGATAATCTGAATTAAATCCTACAAGAATTAGGATAGTTTTAAGCTTTCTAGCAAGACTTTTCTATGTCAATTGAAACATTACAACCGACCATAATATTCAGTTTCATACTCATATTCTAACATTCTCCTACTTGAGTATGAAACATATTAATCACACAGTCTTTCATATTCATAGAAGTGATCACCAAATCTTTTGAATAACAAAAGCTTAACCTCACATACAACTTATCTATGCATTTTAAAGTATTGAACGCAAGAATATTTTCTGTTACATCACAGAATTAACTCGAAAGTCACAACATACTTAATTTGCACTTTATAATTATATGAACCAATATAGCAAAACCAAACCAATTTGCTCCCACTCATCTAGGCCGTACTTAACACAACCAAGTTAAGTACAAGTTAATAGCAACTGTATTAACTAAAAATCATTCCAATACAATGAATGACTAATTAGAATTCATATGGAAACCAAATTTGTTTCCTTTTGAATGCTAACCGACATAATAGGATCATTCTCAATACTTAAACAAATTAAGTAACACAAATAATTTAACCAATTGCTTCAATAAAACCATAAATTGGTTCACAAGCATCCAAATGAATTATAATGGCTGGCCTAAATACTATTAGCCTTATGCTTACATTCGAACATATAATTCTCCCACTTAAGCATAAGCAGAATGTACTGCACAACCAATAAAGAAACCAGAGATATGAACCAATTGGTTCCTGACTCCTCACCAATTGCATAATCTTAGTTTAGTCATATACACCTAAACCATTATGCAAACAGTCTATGTATCAAAACATAGTCACAATTCATTCGAAAAAACTTATCTCACATAAACCCAAATCACCAGTTTCAACAATGATCAAAATCAGAGCACAATATTTTTGCATTCAATTTGATTTGAACTAGTTCAATACCCATCGAGCAAGATCAACCAAAATTTGATAATGTCTGGATATAAAAGCACAAGTCATCTTGATTAAAACGAGATAATCAAGATCTCAACTTTTTAACTATAAGATTTACTTATAATGATTCTTTAACAAGATTGACATGTATCATAATTGATACTTCAAAATCTTAAACAATTCCACTCGATAGCAAACCCATAATTTGTCAAAATTTCAAAAGTAGTATTGTTGATGCACAAAACCGGAGGGGTCTTGGAATAACGTAAATCCGACCGTGAATCTGCAAGAAAATAAATAACACAAGATGTATCGTGGTTCACCCCAATGTTTGGGCTATGTCCACACTGATATTGTATTTCTCTGAGATGTTGAAGATGGAAAGAGAGAGAGCTTATAAGGGTGAGAGAGCTCTTCTCAATCTGAGAGGTTTGAAGGGATGAAGAGGCTTAAGAATTGGCCTCCCCCAATGAGGAGAGTGATGAGTCCTTTTATAGAATAATGGCTCCTCACTTATTACATATTTGCCCTTTCATTTGTTACATAATTACATTTGAGTCCCCCGAGTATTTATACGAGGTCTAAATATGGCGGCCCTAAGTATGGTACAAACAGTAGTCCCCCAAGTCCTCAATCAAGAGAGTCTTTTGGTCGGAGACTTGAAATTCAGTCCATGTGTGGGCCGAAGTAACTAGATATCGTCTAAAACTGATACTTGATATGAGGCGGTGCTCAAAGTGAAATGATGCTCAACTAGAAGTAGCACATGTTGGGAGGTTGCTCGGCTTGTGGCTTACGTTGCCTTGGTTGGCTTGGATTGTGGCGTTGAAGGTGAGGGAGTCATTTTTATAGAATAAGGGCTCGCTCCTCAATACATGAACGATGAGCTAGAGTTGATGCTCTCTAATGATGGTGAAGGAGTCATTTTTATAAAATAAGGGATCGCTCCTCAATACATAAGTGATAGGTTAGGAGCTCAGCTGGCGGCGAGGCGGTTGCTCAGCTGGCGGCGATGCTCTCTAATGAAGGTGAGGGAGTCTCTTTTATAAAATAAGGGCTCGCTCCTCAATACATAAATAATGGGCTAAGTCCCCCAAGTATTTTTCACGAGGCCAGTTGAGGCCAGTTGAGGCCCAATATATGGTACATAATGTAGTCCCCCAAGTCTTCGATCCATGGAGTCTGTTGGCTCGAGACTTCAAATTGAATCCATGTATGGGCCGAAGTGGCGGTTGTTCGGATGCGCTATTTGTATACCCTGCACTAAAGCTTTATAGGTGAAGCTTTGCAAGTGAAGCTTTTAAAGCTAAAGCTTTGTAAATGAAGCTTTTGAAGCTGATTGACTTGAGTGATGCTCATGAATGTTTATGTTGATTGACATGAGTGATTCTCATGAATGTTGACATGAGTGATGCTCATGAATGTTGACATGAGTGATGCTCATGAATGTTGACATGAGTGATGCTCATGAATGTTTATGTATGATTGACATGAGTGATGCTTATGAATAATTTTAGAGTACTGGACGTACTTTTGATCACCTAGTCGGTGATAATAGCGGCAGATTGCCAAATAATTTTGAAGTACTGGACGTACTTTTGATCACTTGGTTGGTGATAATAGCGGCAGGTTGCCGAATAATTTTGGAGTACTGTGCGTACTTTTAATCACCTGGTTGATGATATAGCGGCAGGGCGCTGAATAAATTTGAGGCCATAGGGCCCGGCTCTTTTGGGCATATGGGCCTTCGCCCTCCACATAACATTCCAGCCCATTATTTTGGGTTTGCCATTTTTTTAACTACCTTCTGATGGGGTTATACAGATGTCTCCGAAAGATAAGAAAAATAAATCATATCATTCAAAACAAAGGTTTCGACAGTTGCAGATCGTTGGTGCGTACTGCACCTACTGCGTACTGGGTTGTTACAGATCTTTTTCCATGTGCGTATTCCAGTGGCTTCTTCAGAAAAGTGGGAACATGCATGATGAAAATTTTCTTTTTCAAAAGTTGATGACATCTTCTGCTTGCCTTTACTGCACCCGTTTTTTTTTCGGGAAGTTCATCCACAAACATGTGCAGCTTGGTCATGATTTCTCTTTATCCTTCTCCTTTTTCTTTTTCTTCCTTTTGCTTTTTTTTCTTTTCACTTTCTGCTTTGCTTTTGCTGTCTTTTAGAAAATGGCAGACACTAATAACATAGTTAATAATAGAAAATCCTTGTAGATCTTCCCAAGAGCAAAAGCAGAGTCCTCCCAGCAAAGACAATAATGAAAGTGGCAACGAATTCAGCTAAAGTGGCTCTGATGGAGTTAGAGTGGGTGGCCTCGTCGGTAGTAGGCCCAGCTGCTAAGAAGAGGGATGTTGTTGTGGTGACTGTTCATGCTTGAGGATGAGGTGAGGACTTCGTCTTGCTCCTCTACGCCGGTTTGCTTCTCCCTTCAGAAGCGCCGAAAACGAGGAGTAGCACCCCAAAACCAACACCAAACAACCCTTTATGCATCACTGCAACAGAGTTTGAAAGACCCTTAGGAGAACCATTATCAACTGGCAACGGAACTGGACTTGTAACCTTGTAATAGCTCCATTCAATTTGGCTCTCAGCTTTGTATGAAATGGGATTATCACTGCAATAGGCAAGCTTTGTAGTAGAAACATATAAAACTCCCATAACTGAACCAACTGATGTGGACAAGTAACATGCAAATGAATTTTGAAGTTGCTCCTCGTGAGTTGTCTCAAAGGTTGATCGAAAGATCTTCTCGTAACCACATTCTGCTAGAACCTTTGTTCCTTGTGCAATTCTTCCCATGGCAGCATCAGCAAAACTGGGGCTTGTTTTTAAGTACTGCCACATGTTTCCGACGAGATCCTTCACCTTCTTCGTAGCTTCCCCCACCGACTTCCTCTACCTCCCAAACACATTCCGCACAGTCTCTACCGAATCTTTGAATTAGAGAGATTGTGAGAGCGTAGGGGAGTGAGCCACGTAGGTATTGAATCCCTTATGGGAAGAATGATCTGACGCAGCAGCGTGCGACTCGAACACCAATTCTGGCCTCAAATGAACCAATTTCTTCGACCCAGAACCCATGAGAGTGGAGATTGCCTCCGTCAGAGTCGGCTGAGCCTGAGCCTGCGAGCCCATCACGAAGCTCGCCCAGTTCGCATCACCATTTAGGGCTTCGGCTGCAGACTTTGGGTTTGGATCCTGGATGGTGGCCTTGGGCGAGTCCATCGTTCGGTCTAGAAGACTCCGGTGCTGACGCGGAATTGAATTGGCGCGTGGTGATCTGGTTTCTACGAAGCAAATTTTCTTGGATTTTCTTTTGCATTTCTAACTGGAAATCAACGTTGCAGAGGAGAAACCAGAGAGATTCAGATCCTTCTTGTTGCTGATGAAGGAGGTGGATGACGGAGAAGCGGTGGAGCAAGCCATGGGTGTCAGAATGCAAGTTTATGCGGCGTAACTCTGATGTCTGTTTAAATCCTTGTCGTTGATCCGAACTGAGAGTAATTTAAGATCTGTTCCATCCAGAACCAGTAGGGAAGAAGACCCTTCAACCCTAGGGAAGACACATTTTTTGAACCAACAATTGTTTTCTCCTCATCCGACGAAAAGTCCAAGTCCACCGAGTCAAAGTAGTAGTCAAGCATTTTGTAATCCTTCAAAAATATTTCCTTTGGTGCAGCCACTTTGGATTCGTCAACTTGATCTGGCAAGCTTTCTGTGGCAACTGAACAGATTAGCCTCATGCTCCCTTGTTTGTCCCTCTTGTGTGATTTTGCAGATTCATTGTGGAGTGTGGTGAGGTTTTCATGGTGGTGAGATGAAAAATTGAGAAAGAACCGACATAACTTTTTGTGTCGTTTCCCACAGACGGCCAAATGTTGATACACAAAACCGAAGGGGTCTTGATACACAAAACTGAAGGGGTCTTGGAACAACGTAAATCCGACCATGAATTTGCAAGAAAGTAAATAACACAAGGTGGTTCACCCCAATGTTTGGGTTACGTCCACATTGATATTGTATTTCTCTGAGATGTTGAAGAGGGAGACAGAACTTCTGAGAGGGTGAGAGAGCTCTTCTCAATCTGAGAGGTTTGAAGGGATGAGGAGGCTTAAGAATTGGCCTCCCCCAATGAGGAGAGTGAGAGTCCTTTTATAGAATAATGACTCCTCACTTATTACATATTTGCCTCTTCATTTACTATATAATTACATTTGAGTCCTCCGAGTATTTATACGAGGTCTAAATACGGAGGCCCTAAGTATGGTACAAACAAGTATCTTATGAATTTTTAAAATCGCATCAGATATGAATTAAAGGATACAGAGCAGCAGAAGCAAATGAGAAACAAAAATTCCAGACCAAATCTTGCCAATCATTATCAAGTGAGAGAGAAGTAGGAACCCAGTACAAGAAAACCCCAAATTTCAATTCCAATGCTCAAATAATAAAAAAATGACATCAATCTATTGTTTAGTTAGACTAATAGGGTGTGCAATTCTTTCTGGTTCCTCATTCGATACCTGATAGCTTCCATTGATATACAATCATATTTTGTTTTGTTTAAGGAACTTAAGATAATCATCCAACAAAATTTAGATTACTTATAGATTTAATACATAAAATCAAATCTCTTACACTTACAATATATCACGTGAGATGAGTTCCACTATCACAGCGAAATAGAATGCATTCATCATGCCGATACTAATGTGCATTCATATGTTTTATATGATCACACAAAACAAAATATGATTGTATATCTAATTCATGCTTTTCACATATTTGCATTCTTGTCGACAAGGCTTCACCAAACAATTTATATCATTTCATACAAGGTATAAATATAAGAGCCTTCACATGTTTTCAGTTATACATTGCACAGATTGGCATTAATGAACCCAAAGATTCTAAACTCCATCATTCACATATACGGCAGCACCCCTAAAACCTATTATATGTAGTCTAACCAAAATTGGGATATGAATTATACTCATAATTTTAAAGTCATCATCATGGATACTTGTATAATCCAATTTTGCTTTTCCAGAATAATTCAAACCATTCACACCCACATAAAAACCATAGGTATTTGGCAGCATCAATAAGTCAAATTATGAACGTTAATAAATCAAATTCTATTATCATAATTCAAAATTGAAAATCATGATGCAAGCTTCCAAGTTTCAAGCAAGTCAATGAGAAATCTTACATTTGCTTGAGACAACAAAATAGAAGCAAAACATTATTTTCCATCCAATCTAATTACACAGGCTCTAACTCAAAAGTAGAAGAGCATATGTGTTCACCAAATATCAGTCTAGTGAATCTTTATGCAAAAAAAAGATAATTTCATACATATCATAATAATCACAAGATTACCAGTTTCTTAAAATGATGAAAAACATAACTGCAAATACACAATTTGCATTCAATTTGATTTTCACTGGTGTTATCTATCGAAAGTCATTCAATGATGCCAAATAAAATTTTATAATTCTATATCTCAATTAAAATTGGCCGATCAAGATTTCAAAGAGACAATATTGACCGACTGAATTATTCGGCCCTTATAGCAACCCTATATGTATATCCCGGTATATAACCAATCTTAATACTGAATAACAAAAGGACCATGTGACAATTTACTCTTGACTTATATTTTTACAAACTTCTATATGAGTTTTACTTTTAATATAAAATTCCTACGAGTAAAAACATCGTCACTTTTATTTCTTTAAAGCCCTAGAAATTTCTTTGCACTCCAAGGTCAATTATGGCTAACCCATCACGCCTATTATTGCTTTAATTTTAATACTATCAATTTGAATTCAAGAGCAAAGACCTTAGGCTCTGATACCACATGTAAGACTAAACTTATCATAAATATAAGTTAAGAGATTAAGTTCATGAACCACAAATTCATACAAGTATTAAAATCGCAATTTGATAAACATAATGACAAACTAACCCGTGAAAACAGTAGAAGAAGAAGCCAAAGCAGACTTCTAAACAGTGCAGTTTTTAAGGGTTAGTTTGTCATTGTGTTTATTAAATTGTGATTTTAATATTTGTATAAATTTGTGGTTCATGAGCTTAATCTCTTAACTTATATTTATGATAAATTTAGTCTTCCAGTGTGACCATACATAACATTGTAAACATTTCTGAAGCGTTTAAAGTGAACTTTACTGTTTACCTCTTTTGCAGCTTTTGCATGGCTAAAATGTGAGGACGATCACGTGGAAGATTGTGAGAGCTTCCTAAGAGGCTACAAGATATTAACAAGAGGAGGAAGGCATTTTGGAGTTGGTCCAAAGTACGTCCGCATAAGCATGTTGGATCGGGACAACAACTTCAACTTATTTGTTAAGCGACTGTCCACGATCCAGTCATGACAGAGCCGAACGCTATGTTCTTCCTTATGATGTTCTATCTTTCGGCGCAAAGGTGGATGTGGACCTGTTGCAGAGGAAGGTGAGGGGAGTGTCGCATATTGATGTGGACCTGTTGCAGAGGAAGGTGAGGGGAGTGTCGCATATTCGTTCATATGTTGAGTAGCAACGGAAAGTAATACAATCTGTATTCATCTATTTAAACGATATGATTTTTCAATGAAATTAACGAAGAGTCCAAATTCACCGGTCCTTCGAGAATGAAGTTTTCGGACAAAGTTTGCAGAAACAATCGAGTAAGAAGTCCATGAATATATCTTCCAGCCATGGAGGAGGTTGTAGCTCCTTAGATGCCACCATCAAAGCTGCATTCCCACTTCTCCCATGCCACTCATTTCTACAATCCTAATTTCAACTCTCTTAAGTTTTCCACTTTCTTTTAGTTTTCCTCTCTCTTTTAGGAGGAGGTTGTAGCTCCTTAGATGCCCGCCCTCATTGTTTGTTCAAAAAATAAAAAAAATAAAAAAAAAAAAAGATCACATCCAATAAAAAAGAGGAAAACCATATAGAAGAAAATTTGGGAGAAAAAAAGGTCAAAAAACTAATAACTTGGCTTAAAGCTTGGCAATAAATTCAGGGATGTGCTATCCACACATCCCAGATTATTTCTCACACATCCTTATTAATTTTTATCCGTTGATTTTCTTCAATTCATCTTATCTGACGGCCAAAAATTAAAAGGGTATGTGAGAAGTAAAATGGGATGTGTGGATATCACGCCTCTAAATTCATTAAGATATTAAAGTTGGGTGACCAAATTGATGATGGAATCAAATTTGTCCCCACTGCAGACAAAAAATTCACTGTTTCACGTGAACTTGGAAAACGCAAACATGAAATTGTAGAGACGTTATGAAAATAATTACAATAATTAAAAGCTGATTGAAACAGTTATGACACGTGTATTACTTGTCATCTCATTTCACGTGAACTATCATTTTGAATATTTTTTTTAAGGAAAATCTCGGCTACACAAGATGAAATTTTTATTGAATAAAAAAAAAATTAACGAAAAGTTCACGGTACTGTTCATTTTAACGAAAAATTATATTTTTACACTAAAAAGTCAATCCTAGTACTATTCACTTTACCTTTTATTTTGTCCTTACAGTTAAAACTCAAAGTTTTCAATCCATTTTCATTAGTTTTCCTTAAAAAGAAAGCTACACCTAATCACGAAGTATAAACCTTACTCCTAATAAAGAGAATATGAAAAAATAAAATAAAAATTACAAGTAAAAAAAGGAGGGACATAAACATGATCCTCTTAGAAGCATAAACCTTACTCTTCCTAATTATAAGAAGATGAAAACTTGATCTCTCTTGAAAACAAAAAGAAAAATACAAGAAAAAAAGGGGTTATAGTACCTAACCCGTCTAAAACAAGTAATCTTTACCTTAATAATAAATAAATTATTGAATTTATAGCTGGATTGGATTTAACTTGACTTGAATCTAGATATAATTCTTAAATTTGGAATGAATCTAAATTAAGGAAGGTTTGAATCCACTCAGAAACTCTTTCATGTCGACTCCATTTATGCTCACCATATCAATGTGGTTGAATTACAACTTCCTTTTGTTCTCTATATTTTAAAACACTTGTAGAAAGTGAGAACTGGGATCTGATGGATCTTATATAAACGGTTTTTCTTTTTTTTATATATCAAAGTTGTGTAAAATGCTTTGGGGATAAATTCTCTAAATGAAATCAATTACTACACATGTGGAGACGAATATTTCAGCAATTTTAATTTCATGTTGCTTAAACAAATATCAAACCCAATTGAGATACCAAAAAAATAAATAAAAAATCAATAATCATTTTTTTGACGTCCTACGTCTCCCTCCTCTATGTCTGACATTATCCACCCGCTATAATCATTGTCTATCCCTAATCTGTCGCCTGAAGCATGCACTTAATGGATGAGTGATGCATGCCGCTTGTATCTTGGTTATTGGATATCATATTGCTTGGCCTTTCTCCAGTTATTCATATTCATCATCAACAATAACAGCAAGATGCTTCATACAATTCAAGCCCTGGCAGCTACTACAGATTGAAAATCACCTTCCCAGGCTTCACGATTGTCTAAAGCAAAACTCTTTTAGCATTTACCACAAGTCTGCTTATCCTCTTACCCCAATTTAGAAGAATTCAATTTAGATAAGTAAATTCATGAGCACACATCACCAGCTTGGGCTGCTTCATAGGCCTGCTGCCCGTCTGGAGTTTCTTCCACGATCCACTTGTTAGCAGCTTCTAGTCATAAGAATCATGCACTTTCCTGTTGGAAGTTGCATGATCGAAAATCTGCATGCATTGACAGAGCCACCGCCGTTAACATAATCAGGCGATCGAAGAGCAAAGAATAATGTACCTCAACGGTTTGCCACTTCAGTACTTCCACCAACTGAATCATGGTTCACGAATTCTGCCGGGGAATGAAAACTGCCATGGCAAACTTGGTAAAATTTCTCCCATGCCACTCATTTCTATAGTGAAAGTACGTTTCCATTACTTTTCTCAAATATCTCTCATTCTCAACTATTCTCACCTCTCTCCCTCTCCTTCTCCCTCAAAAACCTAGACACCTACTCTCCAAGTTGACGACCAAGATAAAATGAAAAGACTAGTTGTGAACAGTATACTTATCACATTCATAAAGAAAGTTGAGAGGTACTTATAGAAAACTGGACGATGAAACCTATATGGGGTCAAAACTCGTTTAGCTATAAGCTAATTAATTCTTTTTACATGTTTCACGTGAACATACTGAGAAGGCAAACGATGGTTACAAAGCGTAAAAGCTAATCGAGACAGTTTATGATATGTATTAATTTTCTTGTCAGTTCATGTGATGTTGGTTATAAAATTGATTTACTCACAAACAAACACATTCACCAGTTTCACGTGAAATGACAGAGGAGGTCATGCATGGGTATAACAGTTACAAAATTTAAATAGCATTCACTTGTTTCACGTGAACATACTGAGAAGTCTGGCAATAGTGTCAGAAAGTAAAAGCTAATCGACACAATTTTTTACACACGTATTAATTTTCTTGTCAGTTCATGTGATGTTGATAATAAAATTAGTTTGGTGACAAAAGAAGCATCAACAATTTCACGTGAAATGATAAAGGAAGTGACACATGCATATAACAGTTACAAATTTTAAATATTATTCACTCTCTTCACGTGAAGATACATAGAAGGCAGGCAGTAGTTACATAAAGTAAAAGTTAAACGAAATAGTTTATGACACACTTATTACTTTTCTTGCTAGTTCACGTGATATTGATAATAAAGTTTGTTTGACGACAAAAGAAGCGTTAACAATTTCACGTGAACTAACAGAGGAGGTGACACATGCATCTAACAGTTAGAAAATTTAAATATCATTAACTTGTTTCACGTGTACATACATAGAAGGCATGCAATAGTTATATAAAGTAAAAGTTAACCGAAACAGTTTATGATATATGTATTAATTTTCTTGTCAATTCACTTGATGTTGATGATAAAGTTAATTTAGCTACAAAATAAACGTAAGTAGCTTCACATAAAGTGACAGAAGAGATTACACATGTATATAACAGTTACAAAATTCCAATATGATAATTAATTGAAATGAATTATGGCAATTGATAATAAAATTTATTTTTATGTCACTGTCACATCCCGCCCTGGGCCCCTACCACATCTCGAGCTCGACTCCACTATAGCACAATATTGTCCGCTTTAAGCCCCGACCATGCCCTCACGGTTTTGTTTCTGGAAACTCACACGAGAACTTCCCAGTGGGTCACCCATCATGGGATTACTCTCGCCCAAACTCACTTAACTTCGGAGTTCTGATGGAACTCGAAGCCAGTGAGCTCCCAAAATGTCTCGTGCTATGTAGAGATGGGAATATACATATAAGACTTATAGTATCCACTCCCCTGGGCGATGTGGGATGTTACAATCCACTCCCCTTAGGGCCCCGACGTCCTCGTCGGCACACTTCCGGCCAGGGATTGGTTCTGATACCAAATTGTCACATCCCGCCCCAGGCCCCCACCACATCTCGGGCTCGACTCCACCGTAGCACAATATTGTCCTCTTTGGGCCCCGACCACGCCCTTACGGTTTTGTTTCTAGAAACTCACACGAGAACTTCCTAGTAGGTCACCCATCATGAGATTACTTTCGCGCAAACTCGCTTAACTTCGAAGTTCTGATGGAACCTGAAGCCAGTGAGTTCCTAAAAAGCCTTGTGCTAGGTAGAGATGAGAATATACATATAAGGCTTACAGTATCCACTCTCTTGGACAATGTGGGATGTTACATCACTTTTCACGTGATGGAATCCTCCAAGTAAAAGTTGTTGAAAAACACCTTTAGAACATGAAAATTATATTTTATACTAAGGCAAGTGATACATGCTCATCCTTAACTTGTTGACTTTCATTTGATTTCTTTTTAAATTTATTATTCTTTTATTGATGAATATTGACGTATAATGAAAATTTATAATCAAATTTATTTTACATGTGATGGAGTCTTATTGGGTGTTGGGTCCTATATATGTTTTAGGAGGCAACCTATAAATTTCAGGTAGAAGAGAGTCCACAAAGTGGGACGAATTTTAAGTTTCAGAGAGTACAATGGTAATTTTTGAATTATAAAACATAAAGTGAGATTAAAATGAAATTCTAAATATAGTAGCTAAAAATAAGCAATGTAAATTCAATAAAGATAAATCCAAATCCACAAATATTTTCTGTCAACTAAAAGAGTTGGGGTTTGTAGGCCCAAATCCTGGGCCGGTTGTACGCCCAAATCCTGGGCCGGTTGAACGCCCAAATCCTTCTCGTGGGTCAACAAACTGCACAATTGACTTGAATTTTAAATCCATTCCGATCTTGGATTAAATCTAAATTCAATTAAAAAAAAAAAAAACCCAAATCCAAAACCCTAGGGTTTTCAAATCCTCTTTTCTTCCACTCCGTCTCCAAAACCCCGAGAAGCCCTGAGCGCGGAGGACGGCAGAGGCCACCACCCGCCGCCACAATGTCGATGTCAAAGAGCTCCAAGATGCTGCAATTCATAAACTATCGGATGCGAGTGACGATCCAAGACGGGAGGCAGCTCGTCGGCAAGTTCATGGCCTTCGATCGCCACATGAACCTCGTCCTCGGCGACTGCGAGGAGTTCCGGAAGTTGCCGCCACTGAAAGGCAAGAAGACCAACGAGGAGCGCGACGACCGCCGGACACTAGGCCTCGTACTCCTCCGCGGCGAAGAGGTCGTGTCAATGACCGTCGAGGGCCCGCCTCCTCAGGAAGAGTCTCGAGCTAAGGCAGCCAGCGCCGCCGCTTTGGCTGGTCCAGGATTGGGCCGCGCCGCCGGACGAGGTATCCCCACTGCTCCTCTCGCCCAGGCCCAGCCCGGTCTCTCTGGCCCGGTTCGCGGCGTCGGTGGACCAGCCCCAGGTATGATGCAGCCCCAGATCTCGCGCCCGCCAGTTCCGAACCTCTCCGCGCCGCCTATGTCGTACCCGGCCGCTCCAGTGATTCGTCCACCCGGGCAGATGCCTGGATATCCCGGGCAACCTCCGATGGGTCGTGGTCCACCTCCTGGTGTTCCGCCCCCTCAGTTTGCTAGGCCTCCTGGTGGGGGTCCACCTCAGCAATTCCCTGGCCCGCCACAGATGCAGTTTGGGCAGAGGCCGATGGGACCTCCGCCCCCTGGGCAGATGATGAGGGGTCCACCGCCTCCACCTCGCCCCGGAATGCAAGCTCCCCCACCCCGTCCCGGAATGCCGCCTCCACCTGGCGGTGGAATGCATATGTTTGGACCGCCTCGTCCTGGAATGCCACCTCCACCCAACCCTCAGAACCAGCAGCAAAATCAGCAGCAACAGTGACTGGTACTTCCTCACCTCATTTGTTTTGATTCAATTCTGAACCGTTGGATTTGGCATCTGTTTCTGAATGATGATATACATAATCTCCTGTTACGGTGTTGGATGTTTGGCATATGCGATGTGTGTCATTGCTAGTCTTTAAAGTTAATGGTTTCTATAGCAATTTCTTTTATTGAATGGAACCTTATGACATTGCGACGAGAGATACCTTTGAGAACTACCAAGAGTATTCTTGTTTTAGTTCTGCTGCCGAAATCTATGTTGTTTGTTGAAGGAGATTTCTTTCTCCTCTATAACACCAAATCTCAAGACCTGCAAGCCTATTCTTTGCGTTGTGAATGCCATAATGTATTGTTATGAAATAGTATGATGTTATATTCTGCTTCACATAATTCATCTGGAACTCGATCTTTCGTCCTATATCACTGTTCTAGTCTGAATACTCACCAGTCGACAACCTTTGATGTCCACTAATGGGAAAATTGCACTTATATGCCTAACATATATAAAGGATTTGTCATATTATAGTCTAGAAATGGAGCATTATCGCATGATATTGGTCCTATTGCTGTTGCGAAAAATTGTGTCATTGTCCAAAATCAATGTGTAGTAGTCTTGGTATGTTATTTTACTCTCCCTCTAGTTGTCACTATAAAAAGTTTAGTTGCTAATTTTACTCTCCTTTTTCGTAGAACCAGTTAATACATCCTGTTTTTAAGTCTTGGGCTTGTTCATCTTAACTTTTAAGTGATTGGAAAATAGAAAGCTGTTGGATGTCATGTTTAGCGAACGTTGCTGTACAATTGTCCCTCTAATTGCTGTAAGAATGTCCGGTCTTGGTAAAATGGGGGTGGGGGTTAAACACCCGAACAAACAAAAATAAATCATGATACAAATATCCTGATCCTTAGTAACCCCCAATATGTCATCGTTCAAGAGTCGAAACACACCACCCTCACAACTTCTTATCCTTTTTAACTCAAGATTCGGGCACTAAAATTGCAGTTGTAATAGTCATAACAAACTTCAGCATTTAGTTTTTAGGTTTATATAAAATTCTTGTGAATCTCTATTTTTACATAGGAGTTGAAGTTAGGACGTTCTGCTTTTTTTTTTGTTTTTTTGGTCAAACGATAGATTTTGTTAGATTAGACGTTTTGCATCTTTTTGCTTTACAATTTTTTTTTTCAAACAATCTCTTTTAATTGGAGAAATCAGTTGAAGTAAAGAAGCGCGATTGTATAACTTATATTACTATTACAATCATGATTTTGTAAGATCATCTCATTATTTCTACTATCTATTTAAAGAATTGCTGCTGTTGCCACTTTCATTTATGAAAATTACATTTCTTTTGTCAGATTGATCTTTCATTCTCTTCTTGCTTGGAAGGTGACTTGATCCCGTTGTTCGTTTTGTTTCGTGTTGCAGGTTTATTAGATGTGATTTTGAGGTTTTGGAATGCTGCTGCCTTGCATATTGTTTCAGTTTTTGTAATGGGTTTGAGCCTGTGCAGACCTTCCTCATCCTGTAGCTTTGGAGTGCTATGATATGTAGCTAAACTACTGACCCTAAAAAATATTTGTAGGTTTGCCAATTAATATGCAACTCTCTCTCTCTCTCTCTCTCTCAGAATTTTTTCGGTGTATCCATAACACGGCTTTGTGGGGTTACTATTTCGCTGAAAACACGTGGAATGTTATATCATGTAGCTTGTATTCCAAGTAAGCATAACCAAAAAACAGCTTCACATGAAAGTAAATAAGAGCCTTTCATTTATAATTCAAGCATGACAAAAATAAAATTACTGAGTCAAAAACACAACTCTTCGCCACGGCGTATAACCTTCTGTATGAAAGCAAGTTTCGGGTCCGAAACAAAATCTCCTGCTATCGATTGTAACAAAAATGATGGACAAAACACAAATTGATTGAAGAAACTAATAACATCGATGCTGTGTATTTTTGGAAGAAAGATCACCGGATACGGGACTGTACTGGTAACAGCAGAAGTATCGAAGGAAAACTCTCCACGCAGTGTATTCTATTTACGCGATTGAATGCAGCACGATACGTAAGTTGCGTTTACATTAGTCTCAGTTCGTACTCGCCAGCCATTGTTATGTACCTCACCCATGGAAGAGCTTGGTAGCCACTTTTCTCGATGATCTTTAGGTATCGGACCTACAAGATTCAAACGGGGGATAGGCACATTTAGTTTGAACCAATCACACCATGGAACCCGTTCGAGACAGTAATGAAACTCATATCGTACCTGAATTCCCGAGACAGTAAAGTACGGTATCTCAAACTTCACTCGAATAGGAGCTCTTCTTTCGGGAACCGCTTCTTCAGCAGTTATACTAGGGAGCATAAACTCAGCTCTCAACATGTATTCCTAAGCAATTTAATACACAAACAAGGTCAAAATTATCTTTGCGAGTGTTTTTGCAATCAATAATATACTTAAGGGGAGGTGAAAGCATATGGAGGTTTAGACGAACTGTTACCTTATTACCGGGAAAAGACTTAACTTTCCAGACCAAAGCATCTCTTTCAGGAGCATATGCAGCAGATCCCATTGATGTCCGGACATTAGGATTTGTAGCATCTGCGGGCACAGGCAACTCAATTTCGACATTTGTAGCCGTGCTGCACAAAGTAACCGTAGCTTACAGTGAGAATTTGGATAATGGCACCCGAGAATGTTAGAGCAGCAATGCTTTTTACCTGCGCTCCTTATACTGGCTCCTTGCTTTTACCGTGAATTCAATACGACTCCTAGAATGATTTTCAACTTGTGCTTCCACCCAGATAAGAGGCTTCACCTGAAATCATTGAAGGACAAATGGTCGTTTCTGCTTCATATTTTGAGCAAATGTAAACGTACATGTAAATAGGGGTTGGATCTCCGCCAATTGATTAACTTATGCTCCCTTTAGTTACCAAAAAAATTAACAAGAATTTATAAGCATGAGGAAATAAGTATATCATTAACGGTGAATAAAATATGAAATGTACCTGAGTACTGAGTCTGTACGTCATCAGATCAAATGCTCCATCAGGGGGTATGAAGGATATAGTCCGGTCATTCTCAAATCGAGCCAAACGCACACACCTAATATGGTGGGAAAAGGTAAAGTAAATAAAAAAGGTTGTAAGCATTGTAACGTGGTTTATAAATGAAGCGACAGATACATGAAACAGCAATACAAAGCAAGTTAGGCAACATACTGATGGAACTTAATATCATCCAGATCAATTGATTTTCCTTTCGTTGTTCGACCTTGCGCCTCTAGCAGCACTCTATCATTCAATCCAAGCTTACACTCGGGCATACCACTAAAAAAAATGGAGAAAGTTTAACCAGTCAGTTTCCAACATGAAGTTAGCAAACATTACACTATCCCAGGGCAAAATCCAATAATCTTTACAAAGTTTTAGGTTACTTTTAAACAATTACTCATTTTCCAGGCTCAAGTTAGCATCACTAGCCTTATAACTAGGTGCGATCTAGGTCAATCAAGTGACAAATTCAAGAAGGAACATGCTAATCATTATGCTGGAGCCGCAATCTCCAAATCCTAATCATTTAAGAAGGGTTGGTCCAAGCACATTTCATTTGGTGGGCTTTGTAGCAAATGCAGTTGCTGCTATAATTTGTCCATATAATTTATACTAAATTCAAGAAGAAAAGAAGTACCGCACCTCAAATATGTTCTCATCTTTAGGGCTCCTACGACATCTGATCGTATAATTTGTCCGTTGCTGTTGACAAGTATGTTCACGCTTTCCACCACATCCAAAAAGACCTGATAGAAAATGAATGGAGATTCATGACACTGCAGTTGCAATTTAATAAATCAACGGTAAATATGAACAGAGGATCAACCTACTTCGTTCTTCTTGAACTGTATCCCTTCACTGCGCCAAGACACTGCATTTGTAACGGCCATGGGAGGACGTTGTGTCACCTCCATCCTGTAAGCATCGGTCTTGATAAACTCATTAAGAATCTTCGCTTCAGTGAATTGCGGGAAACCAAAGTCCATAATCTCGTCGAGTAACTCATACTGTCAACAGACAAGGGTATTATTAGAAATTTCGCATACCACCATCAAAATTCTATGCATCATTCTACCTATAAACACCTTACAATTCAATTACCACAACGACAAAGTTGTCTCTTAGCGATTCTTCTTCAAGCTCTTCAAAATAGTGCTTAAACACCTGAAAACATGAACAAACATATCGAAACACATGAAAACCTCCACAGGGGAAATAATCTACGACGAATGGCGGCGACATTACACCAAATACAGCTAAAAAAATCTAGCAAGAGAGAGTTTGAAGAGTGCTTACATCGATTACGCGGTGCAGAAACAGCAGCAAGCTAGCAGCATTGCAGTTCTGCCTCGATGCAATCATCAAGTAGATATTGTTGTGCTGTACAAACATGTAGCTGACTCCATTGTCGTACACCACTGGATCTTGCGACTGCGGATCGCCCTGAAAAAATACAAATTTTCCAGTAAACGCAAACGATTCAGCTACTTTTTGCCAAAGTTTGAAACTTTTTATTCCGATTGAGAAATTGATGCCAACCCAATTGCAATTGCAGCTGAATATATGCGTGTGTGCATATATATATATATGTGTGTGTATATACATATAAAAGATTACCTCTTTTTCGATGAACTTGGTGAAGAAGCGTTCAGCCTGAACAGCAGAGACATCGCCACGGTAGTCGCGCCAAATCAAAACTCGTCCTTTGATGTCCAACAGAAAAAGCGCCGAGGCGGCGCCGGCCATCGGATTTAAGATCGAGAGATTTGGATCCGACCCAGTACTCACCACCCCCAAAAGATCATTCAAACCAACCTATCTTGTTCTCTGGTTCTGACTTCTATGGCATAACACCATACATATCAAGAGCAATGAAATTTTGGATATGAATTTTTGAAGCTTGAATTAATCAAGAGCAATATAATTAATTAATTAATCAATATAAAAGTCGGGCAAATTTGAGCTGTTGGTGACGAAATTCAATGGATCCTGCCGCTAGTCATACTTTTCATATTTCAGTCTTCCGAATAGCCATATGAAGAAAAGCCCAATGAAACTGGTTTCTCCTTTGCCCAACTTAGCAAATTATGTGGGCTCTTATGGTGGGTTTATGCAAAAGTTTTGTGTTTACTTTTTTACATGGAAAAATAAATTACTAGATAGTGTCACCGATATCACATTTACTTTCAAAACAACCAAACAAGAAAGCTTTTCTTGCTATGGAAGGTAAAGTCATATCCCAAACATGGAAATTACTAAAATTAAAAGCAATACCAGTGACTGAATTCGTAAAAAAATTTGTCTCCTTGTAAACGTAGTTCCATGAAATGGACTCAAAAGCGATCCCCAACCACTTGATGTCTTCAAAAATGTTTTTCAATCGGAAAAGGGTTGAGCAGAAGCCTTTAATCAATGACTAGTTTAGAGTCACCTTCCCCACAAACGTTCCTGAAGCCCTTTACTTTAGCCAACCAACCTCAAAGCTAAAGCCTCAGCTACAGAGATGCTGTTCTCTCCCAGATTTCTAGCTCCAGCAACAATGGTCAAACCATCTTTATTTTTAACCATTTGAGTTATAAATTTATGGCGAAATTCTGTGTTCTTTTCATTTTTTATATGAGATCCAGACACCATTTTTTTTTGTTTAATGGACTTGGTGTTATTTCTAATTTGAAGTTTTCATTTCTGGATGCTAATAAGAACACTGCTCGGCTCATTCTCTAGAACGAGTTGTTTTCTCTTCCAACAAATCACTGTTTTGGCACTTATGCAAAAATTATTCATAAAAAATAAAATTTTATGCATAAATGTCAAATTGTGATTGACATATAAGTAAGAGACAAGTATTACATTTTTGTTAAACTGGACGTGATGTTAGTATTTCAGTTTTCCTTGGACCGCTGAAAAAAAGAACGATACTTTCAACATATCAATTGAAGATTTTGGCATGTTTGAACATGAACGACCTTTAGACACTTGTACACCTCCTTTGCTCAAATAGTCAATTTTTACTTGACCTTCAAGTATTATCTTCCACTCATGAGTAAGCCACTGAAGACCTGGCTCTTCCCTCCAAGCAATGCTTCCCATTCAATTGAGGACGTCAATATTTGGGAGAGTGTTTGCACAATGTCTTTCATCTCTGGTCTATTTACTGGATCTTCACTTGCACACCTCAACGCTATTTCCGCCATCTGACATATACAATAAACGTATCATAAACTTGGAGTCTGTTTGTTAACTATTATGTTATAAGTTTTTAGTTTTCTTTTTTCTGTTGCACAAACCTTGTAGACTTCTTCCATAGGGTAACTTCCTTTCATGTTACCATCTATTTGAGCTTCCAAAGCAGCTTCTGGATCTTTTTCTTTGAAAACTGCGTATATCTGCATAAAAAGCAGAAAAATGTTGCTAATTCCGAGTCACTTGGAACAAAGATTGGTTATTTGATTAAGAATTTAATTAGCTGACTTACAACGGAGATGAGTGACTTCATCCTTTTCGGTTCTCGGTTGTCACAAAAAATTGCACGCTGACCGGTTATTAGCTCTGCTACGACCACTCCGAATGCATAAACATCAGTTTTTGATGTCATTTGCAGCTCACGCACAGATCTTGCAGAGAAAAAAAGTAGTGGATTTAGGGTAGTTCATAAATTTAATTACCACTAATTGAAGTTTTATTTTCCTTGACAAGTACATAATTAAAATTACAACCCTAATGTCTGCATTACTTACTCTGGAGGAATGTAACCGGGTGTCCCAACCAAGCGTGTTGCTAAAATATCTTCTTCATTCGACCGTTCTACTAACCTTGCCAGGCCAAAATCTGCTACCTTTGCTCTGAGTCCCTGATCAAGTAAAATGTTGCTCGTTTTTATGTCACGGTGAACATAGCGCTTCTTCGTGTGATCATGAATGTACTCAATTCCTCTTGCAGTATCCAGTGCTATCTGTGCTCTTGCTGTCCATGAAAGCGGTTGGTTTCCTTTCAGCAATGGATCATGGAGATGATCATTGAGGGATCGATTCTGAAGAAACTCATATACCAAACACAGATGCTCACTTCCACTAGCATATCCCAGCAGTTCTACCTAAGAATAAAGATTCGGTTACTTTTCCATTTACAAATTTTTTTGAAATGGTTAATAGCGTTTCTGACTATGTTTGGTAGAAAAACTTAAAAGTGCTTCGGAGTTAGAACCACTTTTGGAGAAGCCCCTAGGAAGCACTTCTACTCACAATCATTTTTTTTTTCTTTCCAAAAGTGCATCCTACGGAAGTAGTCCCAAATGGGACCAAAATCTTTTACTTACTTTTTTCTTTTTCTTACCACATTGTTATGATGGATCTTGCATAAAACCTTGAGCTCAGCAAAGAACTCCTTTGTTCTGCTAGATCTCATCTTCTTAATTGCTACCTCCAGTTCTCCTAATACACCGTAATAAACACTGCCATATCCGCCCTCTCCAATCTTCCTGGTGTTGTCAAAGTTGCCTGTAGCCTGCTCGATTTCCTCCATCGTATATATAACTGGCCTTTCATTCTCAAAAGTTTCTGTAGCAAGCACAAATATTGTGTCACATTCTTATGCTAATATGTTAGTTAATCTAGAAATTGATATGAGTGAACCCAATAAAATTGTTTTCTGATGAAGTTGAGTTAACTTAATTGTCTTACCTTCCATTTGCCTTTTGAAAAACTGTTGCTTCATTGAAAAGCCCTTTTTGGCATTTGGGTTCACATCTTCTTCTTGCTCTTCTTCTTCTTCTTCTGTGTTCTTACCTTTTCTGTATCTTATGAGAAGAAATATGAAGAATGTGGCCCCCAAAAGAAACCCAACAGCTGACACTATGCCTATAATTGCAGCCAAACTGAGTGTCTTCCCTGGTTCGACCGAGAAAATTGGTCAATTTATCGTACTTCATTTAAAGAAAATGAGCATTTATGATAAGAAGTTGTAATTGACACTTCAAAATAGTCATCATGCACTTCCCCCTAACAGAAATATCGAAGAACAAAGAGTCAGTATGACTATTTTGGTGTGTCAATAGCAATTTCGTTACGATTTTGAAGCAAAAAAAGAGGCACTACCTTGCTGCTGGACTTGAAGTCCATTGAGCTCCATTGGCACAAACAAAACCCACCCAACATCTATAAAATTAGGGGATTGAGTGAAGTTTTTGTTCAAATTCTGAATCTCACTCTCATATGCAGATAGAAGTTTTTCAATATCTGATAAAGTGTCATGATCTTGAACTGTGTATGTCACAACCTCCTGTGATTTTTTCTCTACACACCCACAAACAAGGTGAAAAGTAGTCATGTTTCCCACAGTAAATAGCTGCTCCTCTCCCCCAATTTTCACTGCTTGCCCACTGTAAAACTCACTTACCACATTTCCAACAGTGTCTCCTTCTTTAACTAGGTAATTTGTATCATAGAGGTAAATTTGGGTGCCCTTTATATCCTTGCAAGTGCAAGGAACAGAAACAAGATAGTCTTGTGGGTGTTGGTTGTCATGAACAATTGGGTGGATGTTGGATGGGTTTACTGAGTAAATGGTGGCTATTTCCTCTGTTGCCTTTTGAGATGTGGTATAGAGAGGAATTGCAGGTCTGGGTGTGGTGAGAAGTAGAGCAAGTAAGAGGGTACAAATGGAGTGAACTTAATCCTGTAGTGTTGTCTGAGAGAACATTTGTGTAGAACAAAGTGGTAACGAGAATTGAGAAAAAATGGAACTTTTGGTTTGAAGGAGCCATTTCCATGCTGAAATAATGATCTTTGGCATTGGAAATGAGGTGAGTAAGAATAGCTTCTGGTTTTGGCTTTACATGCTTTGTCATTTTATACTAAGTTTGAGGTCAATTTTAAATGAGATGTGAAGTCGATTCAGTCACCTAAAGTTTAAATTTTCCTTCTCGTCGTTTAAATAAAGGGGTTTTTCAACTTTCATTCTTGAAGAAGATTAAAATTTAATAAAAACCTGGTGTTAGATTGAATATTGATTTTAGTCCTTTAATGTGTGCTTAATTCAAATTCATATTATAAAATACAAATAGATATCTTATTTAATGTCATTACATTAAATTTTAATTTTATTATTATACACATTTTAATTCATTAATTTTATTTAACTTCCTCTAATTAGTGTACCTAAACGTATTGTAGACATCGAAATTTCGTAAATAAATGTTGACCGATAAATCAAAGTGTCAACGCTCATGTATTACATAAATTTTACACGTTGCGTGTGACTCAACGAAAATTGAAATGAGTTGGAAAAGTCATCAAATAGGACACGTGTCAACACCTGGCAGAAACGACTTATTTCATCTGGGATATTATATTCAAAATTAGGTCTTGGAAAATTCTATAAATACAAGCCCATTTCATTCATTTGAAAGAAAAAGAAGGAATTGATATTACACCTTGAAGCTCTGAAGCTCTGAAACTCCGAAGCTCTCAAGCATCCAGGTTCCCGAAGAATCAAGAAAGCCTTCTTCGTTCTTCGTTCATCGTTCTTCCAAGATCAAACCCCAACGGCCCTTTGGATCAACAATCATCCACCAATTCAAGATCAAGCCTCGACGGCCCTTGAAGAAAGTGTTCTTCGTTCTTCGTTCATCGTTCTTCCAAGATCAAGCCCCGACGGCCCTTGGATCAACCATCCACCAATTCAAGATCAAGCCCCGACGGCCCTTGAAGAAAGCACCATCGTTCATCATCCGTTCATCCAAGATCAAGCCCCAACGGCCTTTTGGATCAACAACGTCGACAAATCCACACATCCAACTGTTCTTCAAGATCAAGCCCAAAAGCCCTTGAAGATCCGTTCATCACTGTTATTCAAGATCAAGCCCAAAAGCCCTTGGAGATCCGTTCATCACTGTTCTTCAAAGATCAAGCCCAAAAGCCCATTTGAAGATCCGCTCAAGTCCACCTTCAAGATCAAGTCCACGGCCCTTGAAGAACGTTCATCCTTAGATCAAGCCCAACGACCCTTTGGATCAATCGCACATCCACCAATCAACACCTTACGGAGATCGAATCAGAGGATCAATATAGAGAGAGATTGTAACCCAAAACTATCAAATACAAATATTTGTTTGTGCACGTTGTTCTTGTCTCTTTCGTTTCACGAATTTTCCGTGTTCACACGTATATATCATAATATATTTTACCAAATTAGTGTACCGAAATGTCCATACCTAAATATATTGTAATAAATTAGTGGCACATAAGAAAATATGCAAAAACATAAGTGTACCGAAAAATCTCTACTAAAATATTTTCTTATATAAGATACTTACCATAATGAGAATTAAAATTTATAATATTTTCATAAAATTTAATTAAAATTTATAATATTTTCATAAAATTTAATATATGAACACCATAAAATTATAAATAAAAAGAGAGAAATTGATTACATATGATGACATTAAATAGAATTTAGGGATTAAAATCAATTTTTAATTTTGTATAAGACATTTTTCTAAACTTCATCTTATTTAAGGATTAAAATTTAATTTTTTATTAAATAAATTAGTGTAAAACATCGCTCTCATAAAAGAAAAACAAAAAAACAATTTTGAGTTTCTTTGCATTACTACCACGTAGCAGTGTAGCAGGTGGGAGGCCAACTTCGAAAGGCAATCCGACCACTCCACAGACCAATTATATTTTTTGCGCGGATTTTTACCGAAAACAAAAATGACTTTGAATTGCTAAATTTTTAATTGTTTAGATAGTAATGAAAAACAAAAAAAAACCAAAAAAAAAAAAAATCAAACGTGGTGTGTCTCCTTTTCAAAATGACCTCACACCTTAAAAGTATTTTATAACAAGCACTTCCAACAGAAAAGTTCCAAAGATATTAGGTAATAAAAACCATTAATAATCTAAAGAACTGTAAACTTGAACAAGTGTTCAAATGATGATAGGCTGCAGTCTGAGGATTGGCAGCATCTTAATGTTTGTTTGATAAGTACTCAGAGCTAAATCTTACTCACGAAATATTATTAAGATATGTCATGAAGATAAAGAATGTCTTAAGGCATAGACTTGGGATTAATGAGGGATTAAAAAAGGAGGATTAAGTTCTGTGCTTTGTTTAATCGGTCTGAAAAAAAATAATAAAGCAGGCTGGGTTTACATGGAAGTTTGTAGGCGATCATGCTTCTGCTCTCTTATTATTTGTCCTCGTTCATTTTCTTCTTTGTTATATATATATATATATATATATATATATAATTTTTTTCTCTAACAAATGATATTATCTACATTAAAAGAAGAACAAACGATATTATCTACATTAAAAGAAGACCGATAAGCCTCACAATGGCTAGCAATACTATAGTGCAAAAAGAATTAGCACCAACGTGATTCAAATACGTTTTTGACAAAAATCGAATCTAAGACTATTTAAGTAAAGAAAAATACCACTATACATTACTAAATGGCTCTTCCTTGTTTATATTAGGATAACTGTTTTTTATTTATTTTTATTTTATTTTATATCGAGAATATTAGGATAAATGTTAAAATATTAAGTAATGCAAGAGAGCAAATGTTTAAACTAAATTATGTGATGACTGAATTATTTTGATTAGCGTGAGTAATGTTAACATCACCAAACATGACTTGGGATTCAAGCCGAAAATTCGTTGCTTCAAAATCCAACACTAAAATTTAGCAAGTGACAAGGAAGAATTGGAAATTCATAATCCAACCAAAATAAAAGAACCAAGCGCTGAAAAAAAAAAAAAAGCACAGCCATTTATTACATCATAAATCCATAGAACTACAACCATCGACTCCAAACGGTTAGTACATACCGGTACTGAGGTAACACAAGCACCAAAAAGATAAACACATACAAACACAAACACCAAAAGATAAACACATACAAAACAGAGAGAGACACTAGCCATTGAGGCCCATATACATAAATATATATGCATGATCAACTCTCCATCTTCATGTCCTGACTGTAACATAAACACCGTCGCGGCTCCGGCCGCCTTCTTTTCCCCTGCCAGTTCTTTGTTTATTTGATCCCTACAACCTTCCTGGGTCATTTCAACTTCCTCGGCCTTGCTGGATAGTCTCGCCCACATCCTTAGTCATCTGGCCCACCTGACCTCCAGTCTCCTGCATCTTATGGCCCACAAAGTCTCCCGTCTCTTCCACCTTCTGGCCCAAGTAGCCCGCCGTCTCCTGCACCTTCTGGCCCAAATATCCTGTGGTCTCCTGCACCTTTTGGCCCATCGTCTGGGGCAGACGAGACCGGCTCAAATAATGGGCTAACCAAGAGAAAGACGATAGGGCCGTGACCCCGAAAGCCCCCGAAGTCAATATCCCCGTCACAGACAGAAATATGACCACAACAGCCGGGACCAAAACCGGGCTAAAGATAACAAAAAGCGGGGTGGTCACTGCCAGCCCAATGATGGTCCCGGCCAGTGTGAGCCCTGCAAGCAAGAGCAGAGTTCCCCCTACTGGAACCAGGGTGGCAATTGCCAAAAAATTTGAAGCTGAGGAGCCATTTTGAGGACGGAAGCTTTTCCCGACTTCGAAGGGGTAGCGTTGTTGTTGGTCATACTGGTAGTGAGTTTGGTAACCTTGGTGTTGTGGGTTGTCGAACTGGATGTGACTTTGGTAACCTTGGTGCTGTGGTTGCTGCTGGCGGTAGTTCTGATCAGCCATTGTTATGAGATATTGAGAGAGCTAGGGTTTGCTGGGTTTGGTTGATCAGTGGAGGATGTGAAATGAGAGACTGAGAGGAAGATGAGGAGGAGGGTTTGGATTTTAAAGGAAGAGAAAGACATCGGTTGGGGGGGGGGGGGGGGGGGGCACGTGGAGGGAGTGGGGGACACTTGTTGAATGCATGGAGAGTGAGGGTTTGCATGGTGAGAGAGGAGCTGGAGTGTTTGGTGATACCTCATCAATCTTTCGTTGGTTTCTGCGTTTTAGAATTTTAATTTGTGAAGGATGGATAATGTGGTCTGGTGCAAATGGTAATGTGCGTTTTTGGCAAGAACACCCAAATCTAATAGGGTTTGATGAACCGATTGGTTTCTATTTTCAACAATGGTAAGCATAGTAATCAAGTTAAATTCAGTTAGTGCTCATACTTAATTAACTTTTAATGACATGCAAATGGTGTTATATTACAGAGAAAAACTTCGGTTAAGTTTCCTAATTAGATAGATTTTACATTTCATAAAAATCAGAGATTGAGTAAGACCAAAAAAGGTCGTACCCAGTGCACAAGGCTCCCGCTTTACGCAGGGTCTGGAAGAGGTGGTATGAATTACATAGTTTGTCTAACCAAATTTTATTCACATTATGATGCATTGATGCCTTGATAGGTTGTTGATGTCTTTAGGTTTGCTACTTTAGGTATATTTACATTTTAATGCTTATTATTTAAAAAAATAAATAATTCAAGTCTTTTAGAAAATGATCAGGATTCGGGGACACACGCTTTTGACATACATTTTGACACACGTTTGTATGGACCTACTCCGCAGTGTACTTCAACGATCCAACTGTTTATATTTTATGTCTTACTTCAAAGATCATGTCTACCAAAAATCACTTGAATCTAAAATCATATGATTGTCAGATTAAATTTAGTGTTTCTTCGTAGAACCATATTTGTATATATTTTTTCACTATAAATGAATGTCTAATGGTTTTGAATTTGTCTAATTTTTGCAAGGATGATCTATGAATGATATACTAAAACATAATAATTCGAATCGTTAAAATACATTACAAAGAAGACCTATAAAATACGTGTCAAATATATAAAAAGCGGGTGTCTTAAGGATCCTAACCCCCAAAGAATATGGAACGTATGAAGGCTCCAATTTGCTGGTGTGAAATTGGGGATTGGAATTGTACAGAGTGTGCATTTGGAACTTGCATGTTTTTGAGCTTGGTGTGAAATTGCAAAGAATATCGAAACATGGTCTGATAACCGATGATTTTTAATCTCTTATAAAAAGGAAAAAAAAATCCGATAATTATCATCAAATTGGTTTTATTTAAAATCAACAAGCCTCATTTTCAAACGACAAAAAATACTATGGTAAGCCTAGTATAATATTCATATGTTAATATATTATGATGTATGAGTCATTAGATCTTGATGTCTAACCAGATCGAAAGCATTCCGTTTTAAAACCTAAAACACGAATTGGAATGGAAAAAAAAAAAACAAAATTGTTCATTGCTAGCGTCGTCCTTCTCTCATCTCTTAGAATCCAATACCTACACTTCATATTCTTTTTCATTTCCGAATCTCATATTAGATTTCGATATGAGATGGATCTGTTTTATAAAAAAAATGTGAAAACACATAAAAATGGGTTCAGATAGATATGTGAAGTTTGGTAGCATTGGGTTCAAACCTAAAAACAATTTAGAAGCACACAAATTTGGGATTTTAATCTCTCCTTCAACTATTGAAATGTGAATTGATAGATCATCGCTATGTCTTAGTTACGCTCCTGTGTTATGAAGGCTACACAATGGAGAAAATACAATTTGGGTCGGATCCTACTTCAACACAAGTCAGTAGGTGGGCTACGTTTGGCAATATACTTATTATCCAAGTTTAAGCAGAATCTATAAACAGATACTGCTTGGCCCACAGTACATGCCTTGACCTTTGCATGGTTTTTATTTTTTTTATTTTTTATTTTTTTTATGTCAAAATACATTGTTCTCCTTTTGATGACAACAAAGTGCATCACATTATTCTCCTTAATATCGAAAATATATTCATGTACCACTCAAATTATTACCGTGTTTTCTTTTTATAATGGGAATAATAACTGCTACTGAAAAAGTTGAGGTTCTATATAAAATTAATTGGTAAGATGGAAGTAGACCAACTTACTTGTAAATCCATGCATGATTCTTCCTCCCATCAATGTGAGATTCATTCTCAACACGCCCCCTCACATGTGGCGAACTTTCAAGCCTAACACGTGAAAAACATAAATCGGTGATGTGGAGCACGTGTAGTCATTGGGCTTCACATATATGACAACTTGCTCTAATACCATGAAAAAAATTGAGGTTTCACTATAAAATCACTTGGCAATATAGGGTCCAACCAACTTCTATAAGCTCTTACATGATTTGGTCACTCACCAATGTAAGACTTTATCCTCACATTCTCACAACTACTAATTATTATTATGAATATGGACTACGTTGGATCTCCTATTAAACTTGTAAATCTCTACACAATTCAAATATTATTAGATTGATGCAATTTTTATTACAAATGGTGTTTCTTTCCCCAGTCAAAATTTGATCCATAGCTATTCGAAAGGAACACTTAACGTACGACTAGAGTCTAGAGCTAGTATTCCTAATACCCCTTAATTAACAATAAAATTATAAAGGGGTCAGCACTACTTGATATGTGTTATATACTTTGGAATAACGAAATATATACTTATATTCTTGATTAAGATATGAAGATATATCAGCTGGGATTCTTGTGTAATATCTAGGCATAAGATTACAGTTTGACTTGATAAAATGATTGCTCAAGGGCAGAATATGTACCCAAAGAAAGTGTAATTTTTCTTGAACCCACAATCTTGTGTTTATTTGTTTATAATCGCTTTGAAGGCCACCACATGATCATGGCTGCCATCATTGGTTATCTGAAACAAGAAACACTTTTCATCCTATAATATTCATATAAAATAAACACCAGCATTGCAGGGAATAATGTAAAGATCGATCGATGTGCTTGCAATTCAGTGGTTGTTATTGTTGGAAATTTTGAGTAGAATTTTGTTATATGTAAATTGGTGGTGTTTGAATGAAATTTTAACTTAAATGTGGGGTATTGTTGGAAATTTTGAGTAGAATTTCATTGTCCCACATTGCTCACCACCACAAAGTTTCCTCACTTTATAAGGCTTTGTCCCTTATGAAAAGTGATTGGAGGGATGAACTTTGGAGAATAGAATTGGACTCACCCTTCGGATTGGGCTTTGGGGTGTAATTAATTTCGAATTTAATTAATTTTTTTTATGAAAAGACTCATCCTTTCAGATCAAGTCTGAGAGCGTATGAACATATTTGAGAAACAGATGAAGTAACACACCCTTTGCGTTGAACAGTCGCCTCCCAAAAACATGTCTGTTGCAAATAGACATATGCTCACTATAAATACATGCATGTGCATATCATTCAATACACAAAAAATCATCAATCCTTATATACCAAGCATACTAAGAGTACGACAAACAAATTCGCCAGAAGTCTAGTTTTCTGGTGCTAGAATTCTAACTTAGATTGTTGAATCCTGGTGAAGCAGACATCTGTATAACTACAAGCACTGAGTAGGGACAAAATTTCTGTTTCAAGAACATTGTGGTACGCAAGCCTCGATCTTCTATTTCTCTGCTTAAATAATATTTCATCTTGTTTATTCTCTGTAATATATTTATTCGCATTTATTATTAGTATATATGAGTTTATCGTAGATTGTTAACATATATCTAATAGTTAGCCACATACACACACCTTTTCTAGAACTCGTGCATGTGTCGTGAAGTTGTGATATATGTATCCTAATTCCTAAATACACTTCTATGATTGAGTAGTACTATATATATGTGTCTCCATGATCAATTTTATTTATTTTAGCTAGAAAAGTTAGTAGATTAATTTTTTTTTAAATTCTTAAAAATCGTAGTTATATATTATCCATTAGATTCAGGCCATGATGCACTAGCGACTCTAAATATGTGTATGATTACCATTTTTTTTATTATGGAGATGGAAGATAGTTTGAAACTTTTTTAATAATTTAGAAGAGTAAGAAGTTTCAAACTCGAGATGCATGGGTAAAAACCAAGCATCCCATATATCAACTAGGAAATTGTGATATTATGTTAACTGCATTTGGGTCTCACGTCTCTTAGTTCTTATTTCTTTACTTTTCCTTTGGTTTTTTCTTTTTTGTTTAATTTTTGGAATTTAAAAAGATTTCTATCCCTGATAGATATGCTAGCTGCGTTATTTCCAGAAGCAATATTGAATATGGTTCTGTCGACAAAAGCATTCCATATAATTGCTTAATTAGTGGAAAATTTAGAAAAAGTGAGATTCAAACCAGTTGATTGCTGCTGATATAAGTTTGAAAAATTAGGTAAGACCACAGAAATTAATTATATGTGTTGGATCAACTGCTTTAACTGAAAAAGTGAAAGAAAGGGTAAGCATGCAAATATATATATATTTTTTTTCTTGTTTCTTGTGTTTTTTTTTAATAGGATGCAAATAAGGAAAATTAATTAAAAGAGTTTGAAAATTTTGATTTTTAACTATAAGAATAAAATAAAGGGTAAAATGAATAGTACTAGAATTGATTTTTTAGTGTAAAAATATGATTTTTCGTTAAAGTAAACATTATTTTGAGTTTTATGTTAAAGTTCTCATGCAAATATGCATGTCGGCCTCTGGAAAACGCCGCTATATATCTTTACAATAATATTTGATTTTGAGCTTCTCCATCATGTTCATATGGCTAGGTACAGTGGCTACCTGGATAATTGAGCATGGAAAATAGGATTGGCTATGATTATTTGCATGGGCCACCCTTTCATGATCAAAAGTGAAGCTTGACTCACTTAATGGCATTTTTCTACCTTTATTTATTGCATTTTACTAATGGCATTTTTCTGATTAAAATGGAAAAAAGAAGTAAGCATTGAACATTTTGTGAATAGAGAAGTGCCAATGAAGATGATGA